GGGATAAAGCCCGGACTCATTAGCTGCCATGTAGGCGATGGGATCATTGATGTCTTTCACCCATTGGGGATCGGCCGACAGGCGCCAGTACTGTTGATCTCCATCAGACCAGAGAAGAACGGCGTCTTCGATGTTAATGAGGAGGCGATAATCGCCAGCGGAGGTGGAGAGAGTTGAGCCTGCCGGGAGGCGCTGATGGGAGAGGAGAGTGTCGGTAGGGTGATCGAACGATTGCCACAGAGAGAAATTGGCGGCGTCGAGGAGGAGGAGGTTGCCGGTGTCAAGGAGTTGGAGGGCCGCCGCGTGTTGGGAAAGAACAGGGGTGGACCAGAGGATGGAGCCGTTGGGGAGGGAAATAGAGAGGCCGGCAGTGGAGAGGGAGAGCACAGCGGTGTATGGCGCCGAAATGTCGCGGTTTGCGGACCAGACGAGGGTGGAGGTGGGAGAGTGGAGGATGGAGAAGATGAAGTTGGATTGTGGGGAATCCGAGGAGAGTGTGGCGGAGAAGGTGGAGGAAATGGAGGTGAGGAAGATGCCACCTTTTTCGATGAAGTTTATGCTGGAGGCGGTGAAGTTGGGGTAGAGGAACTCGGTGGCGATGTGGGCGGCGGCGGCGGAGTTCTTGTGGCGGCGGCGGAGGGGAAGAGTGAGGAGTAGGAAAAGGATGCGTCTGCGACTGGAGACCATGGGGGAATTGTGCCTAGTGGATCAAAAGGCCATGAAAGGATTTGGGAGAACCGTAAGGAAGCCATGGACCATGGTGTTAGGGGGCGAATATTAGAAGAATATATGTGTGAAATAGTGATATTATAATTATATTCATCATAATATCATGAAAATATTACTTCAATACTAGTGGTGCAAGTCAATCAAGCCGGCTTGAGTTCCTCCATAAGTGTCTCATGAACTGAGCTCAATGAGCTAACAAGCCAAGCTCAAGCCAGCCCCGATAACTCGAGATGTCAAAAAAATAATATTTTTTATTAGGTGATTTATTATAATCTCTCTCTTAAACATTCTTCTATTTGTCAAACTCATTATAAAATTATTTAAAATTAACATCATTTTCTTTTTTTTATATTAAATAAAGCAGCTCGTGAACTTGTTCGAACTCATATGCTTAAACTTAGTGCGTGTTTTATTCAATCTAATATATTTTTTTAGTGAGGCAAGATGAGAAAATGACAGTTGGGTTATGTTGGCTTGTTGGGCATTGACCATGGCGGGAGAGATGACGCGGTAAGTGCCGTTAAGAGATTTGGATTGGAGGCAGGAAGAAGCGCGCTTCAACGAACGAAAGAGAGGGCATATAGAAGATTTAATATTATCATGTGATGTCATTATAAAGAAGTCAACGTATTAAATTTATATATATATTTTTTAATTATGATTCAGCAATGCCGCAATATTTTTAAATTATATCAATATTGTAACATGAACTGATAGAAATATTTTTAATTTTGATTGTGGTGGGTAATGGGGATGATGAAGATGGTGGGATGAGATTAATTTTGCTTGAATTATTGAATGAAAATTTACTGAGATAAATTGAGAATCTTTTATGGGAAATACTCGTGAATAGGGGCGTAAACGAGCCAAACAATTTAAAAAATATTATTGTTGGTATTCGGCTCGTTTATATTTCAGACATAAAAAAAATTAGTTCATGTTGGGCTCTTTTGCTTGGCGAGCGAAACATGAACTGTTCAAGAATAAAAAATTATTTTGATAAATCTAGTCATGGATGCAGCCGTTGGGTGTAAACAAGCCGAGCTTGAGCGAATCCAGACTCGGTTTGTTAAAAAATATCATTGCTCGTGTTCGGTTCGTTTATATATCAAGTATAAAAAAAATTATTTGTGTTTGACTAGCTTGCTTATCAAGCCGAATATGAGATATTCATTAATAATGAGCTATTTTGACGACCCTAATAGCACAACAATAGAATGTGAAGGGTATGGGGAGATTTCAATCTCGTTATTTATACTAAACATTAATTTAAATAGAATTTAATATATTTTTTATTTTATTTTTAATTAGTAATTTTAATTGATTATAAATTTTTGTAGCGTTATAGTCAATTAAAATATTAAAAATAATACTCATTATATA